CATTTGCCGCCTAGCATCCTGATGGGCTGTGTTTGGTGAAAGCGCTGGAATAAAATTACAGCCGGCACCCAACTTTTGAAATTTTTGAAATTGCTAATAGAAGCATGTCACCTTTGATTGGACTATTGGGCCCCTAAATAGAGAATTATTTTGTCCATCCTGACTGAAAAAAGCATGGTTTCAGCTGTTCTCATTCAAAAAATGTTTTTAGTAGCTTTGTATACCTTCTCCTGGGCAGCAGTGGACAAGCATGTCCAATCTAAGCTAGCATAGAATTTCTTTGGCTCCTGGGAACATTTTGCTCCACTGCCAAGAATGGAATAGACTCCTAAAATTTAGATACCAGCTGTAATTCTTTGGGATTTATCAAGCTTTGCTTCCAGGGTCAACAGTAAGCTTTCAGTGCAAAGTGTACCCAGAGACAGCTGTTGTCTATATTGTACTTGGGTGTCTATCCTTCTGAACTCTTGGCGTAGCAGTGGACATACTTAATAGAATACAGGATCTGGCATGTCTGAGTCTTGCAATATAGACATAAGCATGTGTAATGCTTTCTATGATAGAACTGTGTTTGAAGATGTCTGCAGATGTTTATCAGCCATTAGGCAGGAAATTTGAACTGGCAGGTGGTTGTTGGTCCCAGTAGGGCATTCTTAGGGCTCGCAAGGTTAAAAGGGTAAAATATTATATTTGTAAGCCTGCATGATGTATTAGGAAATGTAATGTGTTTATTTTTTAAATAGTCCAAGAGACTAGTATTAACAAGGTCAAAAATTATATTTCCCTTTTTTGTTTTATGGAAAATGTCCACTGCAACAGTCTCACCTGTATAAAAGCTGTTTTGGGCGATTTTTTTTTTGCTTATTTTCTCAAAGGTGAAATAATCAAGCATTATCTATTTAGATGTAGGAAGATTAGAAAGCTTTCCTGCTGTTTTTTTCTGTTATGTATGCGGAAAAAACTGTGCCTTCCAAAACTTGAGATAATGTATTATTTTCATTAGAGGAAAGCTACATTACCACAATAAATGCTAATCACTTACAAAGGTCGAAATGGACTTCAACCAAGTCCATGAGGTCATTACTTTTTTATATTGTTACCCCACTTAACTGTATGATCACCTCACAAACCTAAAGCAGTTACCGTATTTGCCGGCGTATAAGATGACTTTTTGTACTTAAAAACATCCCCCGAAAATCGGGGGTCGTCTTATACGCCGGGTATGCAATCTGTCAGCCGTTGGATGTACGGGAATACTGTATGTACACAACCTCTGCCAATCTGAGCAGGCTTTGTATTCATTAATAGAATACGTTGCTCGCCGTGATTGGCTCAGCGCGGTATACTGTATGTAGCCGAAGCTACCGTACATACAGTATTACCGCTCATCCAGCTGGCTGACAGATAAGCCTCCCTGGCGGTCTGATTATTTAAATATTTTGTTTTTCCTTTTTTTGTTCAATTTTTTTTTTTACTTTTAAAATTCCCGCCGGTTCCGCCCCCCCTGCGACGCGGACGCTCGCAAGGGACGGAAGACGGAGGACTCAGCGGGGATCGTGCACAAGGTAAGAGACGCTACGCAGTAATCCCGAGTGTGGCTCGGGGTTACTGCTTATGGTACTGAAAATTAACCACGAGCCGCACTCGGGAATACCGCCAAGGAGGTTAGTGGTTGTATTTAAACATTATTTTGGGCTAAACTCGTCTTATACAACGAGTATAGCCCAAGCCCAAAACCTATGTTTTAACAGAAAAATTAGGGGGTCGTCTTATACGCCGAGTCGTCTTATACGCCGGCAAATATGGTATTTTCCTGACTTTTTTATAATTGGGCCTTTCAAGCTGCACACACCCTCCTGGACTTTGGCATTTTCTGAAGACTTTTTATACATTAGGCATGCAGTTTATTTTTATAGAAAAAAGAAACACAAGAGCGCCCCTAAGTGCAGATATGTTTTAATAATAACATTTAAAAAAGGTAATTTACTCACAAGAGTAGATCAGTTCAAGCATATGTATATATAAAAACTCCTCTCAGCAGGAGCACATCCGCCCGTCTGTTAGAACACTGTCCAACAGGAAAGCCTTAGGTGAACCGGCAGAGAGAACGGACAGTGTTCTAACAGACAGGCGGATGTGCTCCTGCTGAGAGGAGTTTTTATATATACATATGCTTGAACTGATCTACTCTTGTGAGTAAATTACCTTTTTTTACATTTCATTATTAAACGTGTCTGCACTTAGTAGGGGCGCTCTTGTGTTTCTTTTTTCTGTGAATGTTAGAGATACCTGGAGTCTGAGAGCTGCTCCCTGGTGGAAGAAGCAAAGTAAAATTAAAGGATAATTAAAGCCTCCATTTTTTTTGCATAGATCTACTGCTAGCAAACAGTAGATATATGCAAAAAGTGTAAAAAAAACCACCAAAAAAAACGCTTTAACATAGGTTAATACTCACCTGTGTCTTCCCTAGGCACTCCCGTACGAAAATATGAAGATCCTCGGGGCGGCCGCAAAGCACCTAGGGGCGGGCGCATGCGCAGTTCACATTTTTGGCCAGGACGCGAGGAGAGACACAAGGTAAGTCTATGGACGGCGTGCACCCGCATGCAAACACCGTGGGACAGGAAGTGCCAGCAAGCTCAGAGGAGTCAGCGCTGGATCAGAGACCCGCAGCACCGCTGGAGGGACAGATGAAAACATCAGGAAAGAAGAGGAAGATCGGATTAAGAGACATCATTTAAGGTAAGTGCTTTAATTAACATTGGGGGAGGGGGAAAAATTGACTTTAATGTCCCTTTAAAGGAGATCTGCAGTGTGATTGCACCTGGATTATACAAGCTTACTATTGTATTGGCATAGGTACACCCTAGGTAGAATTGAAAATGTAAATCATGAGGTGTATAGGTATTCAGCCTTTAAGGCTTGTTCACACCATATACAGTGCGTTCCAGCGCGGTTAGCTGCTGTAAAGCACTGAATCGGATAGTAAACTCCCCCCTGCATTCTGTGGCGGGAGGGGGCATGGCAGTGCAAAGAAGTCAATGGAACAAAGTGCGATCGGCCGCACCTGAACGCGGGCACAACAGTGCCTGCGTTCCAGTCCAGTAGGATCGTAAAAAATGCTGCATGCACTATTTTTACCTAATAGCACTGGACCAGAACGCAGCTATATAGAATACAGGATCTGGCATGTCTGAGTCTTGCAATATAGACATAAGCATTGCCGTCAATGCACCACCACCCCCCCAAGACCCCCGCCAAAGATCCCAGGGGGTAGTTTACTATGTAATACAGTGCGTTCCAGCAGCTAGCTATGCTAGAACGCACTGTATATGGTGTGAACAAGCCCTGTATATGGTGTGAACAATCCAGAATTGTTGTAAGCCACCAGTCTATCTCAGACACATTTGTCTGTAACCTGGTGATGTGAGAACTACTTGTGAAGCAGGAAGATAATTCCCAGACATAACCACTATTGGCTCTTTGCTGACTTTCACATATAGAAAGTTGGATATTAAAAAAAAACAACTAAGACGTTTGAGCCATCATTCAGAATGAGTTCTGTCTTTAACATTAATATGTAGTTATATGGGAAGTTAAACATCACAGACTACAGATACTACATTCCCACTAACTGTGAGGTGATCCCAGGATACCTGTAGTATGGGTTTACAGAGAACCCAAAATATATGTAAAGCCATTTTTTTTCTTCCAGTTGTCATTGGAACAGGTGTCCCCATTGGAAGATGTTCTCTCTATTCCTGTTCTGCTGACATCGCAACATGTTAAATGTTTCCTTACTTTCAGTCACCAGGACAATTTGAGTGTGAATCCCTCTAGTGAGGACACAGGCTGCAATAAAATCTTGACAGATGTTCAAACCTCATCATTCCTTCCAAAACAAAACAAAAAGTTTCCTTTTAGAATAAATACCTTTTGCTCATTGATTGCTTTCGCCTTTTGCCTGTAGTTAATGTGGTTTTGCAGTGTATTCATTGTATGTGTATATATGTAGATTTGTTTTTTTAACCTTTTTTTTATATGGAATGCTAATGGAAAATCCATTTTTTTAGGAGAAGTTATAGAGACCATCTTAAGTTCTGGACACACTGTGTACTGGCCACGTTAATTGTGTTTACAGTCATCTCCTTTTTTGCTGAACAGGTAATTTTTTTCAGTGTGAAAATGTGTGCAGTTATGTGCATTATGTGTTTTGTTACTTTGGTTAGTGTTCTGCTGGATTGTCCTGCATGCCATTTGCATGTTCTTGCTAAGACAAAAAAAACTAAACTAAATTCTGCTTGCAGAGTTCCCAACTCTCCCGGTCGTTCCGGGAGTCTCCCGCTATTAGATAGCGGCTCCCGAACGCCCGCAAGAGAGGCATTTTATCCCGGAAAGGACTGAAACCTTTCCGTGTCTGCTGCGCTCACTGGTTCTGCTGAGTAGGAATAAAGTTTTTAGTTGTAAGGGGGAAAAAAAGTTTTTACTTGCACATCCTGTAATGGTGGGTGGTCAGTGGGAGGGGTTTAGGCACGGCAGGGCGGACTGTGATTGGCTGGAGACAAAGGTCCCTGTGCTAGCTCTGCAGACACCTTGTGATCTCAATGACTGTGATGTGCCGGGGGCAGGCGATTGAAGACGCCTGTGGTGGGGGCAGGGAGGGTGAGTGGCACACTTCCTAATGTTGGCTGCTGGCTGAGCTGTGGAGGGGAGCTCCCTTGTTATATTATTTTTTATGTTATTAATGTTTTTGCTCCTCTGCTGATTGACAACAGCAGCGGGAGGGTACAAGAGCGAGCCTGCTATTGGCTATTGCAATTTGAAATGACCAATAGCAGCCTAGCTATTCATTCCCCTGCTATTTAGTTTTTTTTTTATTTTGATGGTGGCCGAAGACCGCTGTCAAAATAAAAAAGAGAAGGTACCTCCCTCAAATGAGAAGGGCACCTCCCTGAAATAAGGTTTTGCAGGTTGGGATGTCTGTGCTTGTCATACAGTGTATGGTATTAATACAGTTGAAGACCCTACGCATATTTCTATGGGGAAAAAGATTAACAAACCGGATTAACTTGTTCTATGTTTGCGGCTGTTTCCTTGTGGTAACTGCATTGTTCTATTAGGAACTGCTTCGATGTAAATGCAGCCTCAAAATTCAGACTAAAGGAGTTATGTATACTCCCCTACACTGTGTCGAAGACACTATTTACATACCTCAGTACAAGTCCCTTTAAATGTCCTTTTTTAGGGTAGGTTTGAATCTGACTGGTGACTATTTATTTATTACAGGCATTTCTATAGCACTGACAATTTACGCAGCGCTTAACATACTATTCATTCACATCAGTCCCTGTCCTTAAGGAGTTTACAATCTAGGGTTCTTATCTCACATGATTATGCAAACATATTGAGACGGCAACTAATTATCCTACCAGCATGTCATTGGTGTGCGTGGTAGGAAACCCACACAAGTACAGGGAGAACATGCGAACTACTTGTAGATAGTGTCCTGGCTGGGGCTGAGGACCCCCAGTGCTGCAATGCAGAAGTGCTAACCACTAAACCAATGTGCTGCTAGATGGCTGTAGACAGTTCTAAGTGCTATGCACTACAGTAAAGCTAACACATACAAGAACTGTACAAACGTAAGATAAGCCAAACCAACAGGCAATATTGCAGTGTATCTAAACCAAGAATTGCAGCTTATCAATCAATCGATGTGTTGGCTGCATTAGGCCTCCTTTTTTAGGCTTTTTTTAAACGTCCTTTCTGTCCTAGAGTGACAAAATCGACTCAATGTCCTTTATCTTTGGAGGAGCTGTGTTGTCACCTAGAACAGAAAGTGTGTTCGGACAAGAAAAACCTCCCCCTCTCCATAACATAAGGGGAAGGTGTTCTTTAGTTTACAGACGTGAACTGGTTGGGACTGATAACACTGCTTGGGATAATGCCAAACACTGCGTTTGTTAGTGTCTTCTCATCCCAGTCACACTAATAATCCCCGTCAGGCACCTGCACGCCTCTAACATGTTTCACACATTTGGCCTGCATCAATTAAGGTCAACACGTTAGAGGCATGTGGCTGCATGACAGGGATTATCGGTGTGACTGGGATGAGAAGACACTCATAAATGGAGTCTTTGTTGGCATCCATGGAGTGTGGTACTTTCTTTTTGCTTTGAGTGAGGTTGTAACGCGGACAAGCTCAATACCTGCACCCTGGAGGCTCTCATAGAGAATGGAATCTGACATGGGAGCGGTGATATTTCTGTCTGAAGACTGATCTGCTTGGAGTAACACTGAGGGGCAGCCCACTTGATTTCCCACAGGATCAACAGATGGGTTTTTTTTTCCCCCACACTTATTGAAAAAATAAAACCAAACCCTTTTACTGACATATTTAACAAACCAAAAGGAAGAATATTGAAGTAGTTCATTGTTAGGATTGACATGCACTTAAATCATGAAATCATATTAATAAATATATTTATATACTTTTTTTTATAGTTGATTGCACTAAAAAGAAAGCTTTTTCACCGGAGGAGAATGCCGATTGAAGTGAACACAGAAAGAAGTAAAGTGTGAACCGGCACTGATTCATTACCAGACTACCTCATAAGTGAATGAAGGACAGAGACATATCAGAAGACAAATGACTCCACTGAAAATGTCTCTGATGACGCAGTGTTAAGTATTGTAGCTGCAGTCAGTTGGGTTCATTTTTTCCATAGGAAGTTCATCGTGCAAAGTCTGCAAAAGACATAGATGTGTGTGATTGCAGCTTTTTGATGCCACTGGAATATAATATGTGAGGATCTAACAGCTATAGGTCAGCTACTGCTTTTAACATCTGACCTTTAAAACCAAAGGATTATCAAATGACAACACGAAAATGTGATGTGCCAGCTTGGCGTGAGCAAATCGAAACATGCTTTCAGTTAAACCTTGCTTCCAGCACTCCTTTCTGGACTGTTTTTCTGGTGACAATGACATGGTGTTTCAAATGAACGGAATATGTACTACAGTCTCCAAAATAGATATGGATATCGGAATTGTGTGACTTATGAATGTACTTCTTTTATTTGTGTAAATAACCAGTCAAGTGCCTATGTACAGATAATTCCTGTTTTGTCCTAGTGCAGGACTCATTGTATTAGGGTTGTTGGCTTTGCTCTGTGATCGGGTGTAAGCAAATGTTTTGTTTTTGTTCAGTTTTTCTTTTTCCCAGAAGAAATGCACTTATAATTAGAAAGCAGATTTCAGTTTTTGGATTATCAGTATTGTGTACCATGTTCGCAATGAATGAAAGGAGAATTGTAGTGAGAATGCCATTACTGAACACTCCTGAAAGTGCTAGTTGTCTGGCTGGCATTTTGATACCTTGGCTTCAATACATTCTTGGACAACTGCTCCAGTTTTGATAAATCCACCCATGTCCCATGTCACCCATGAGTGCTGGAATCAGCTTCTCGCTTCAGCTTGTTCAGTTAAGCTTTGAAAATGAAACCTAGAAGCTGATTTATTTCAAAGAGCTCTGTGAACTCAACGCTCCAATTCTATCTCTGGCTGCAGTCAATACATAAGCTGGGTGCAGCCTGCAGTGTGCTCTTCACTTCTCAAACCAATCTCCAAAAATGAGCCGCATGAAAACCAACGCAAGTCAAATATATTTTATTAAAGTAAATCCAAAGAACAAAATCCAAAATACGATATGCAACATGTACACCACCATGAGTCTCTCCCACACCATTTTTGGAGATTGGCTATAGAAGCTGATTGCTTGACATGGTCAACTGCTCCAGATTTTGTTTGCTCCAGTTTTGATAAGTTCCCCTCTCTGAGTCTCGGATCTAGAACAAGTATAGACCAAGAATGCAGACTCCAATTTGCTACACGCCTTTCCCAGCCTGTGATTTCAACATGGAAAGAGCCAGACAACCCGCATTTTTAGAATAAATGGCAGCCTCCATACTGGTCTCATGACAGGTGTAATTAAAGTGTTACCAATTATTGACTGACTCAGGAGATTTAAAGGGGAACTATGAGGCGAGTGAAAATCACTCAGCCTCATAGTTCTAGCCGACCTGTGACAATGAAACTGTCACAGGTCGGCTCAATAGCTCGGGAAGTGAGCGTACACATACCGGCGTTCGTTCGCCTCTTGATCTATCCCTGTAGAGAGCCGTGACTGTCACTCATGGCTCCCTGCAGGGATTCCCCCCTCCCCGATTCTCCAGCGCTGACTCTTGGAACGGACGGGGGAGGGGGCGGGTACAGCTGGCTCCGCCTCCAGATAGGCAGAGCCAGCTGTCAATCCCGCAGCTGGGTGGATCTCGACAGTAATGTCAGGATCTGTCCCGGCTGCGGCGTCTCAGTATAAGCTAGCTGTAGCTCGCGGTAAACTGAGCTTTGGGTGACGGGAGGACGCTAGTTTGTGTCCTCCCGTTACCCTTAGGAGAACTATGGAGAAAAGCTCTAACCCCATAGTTCTCCTTTAAAGCAGAACTTCAGGTAAAACATAAAATGACATAAAAGTATGCATTATCAATTGCTGTTTGCTTTTCATTGTGAATGCATTTTTTGGGGGGAAGGATAAAACAGCACCACTCAACAGTTTTGTCCCTGTAGGAAGAAATTAATTTTCTTTTAGGCAACTAGCCTTCCGCACATAAAGATCAAATGTAAATATTTAGATATATATTCCTTTACTGTATCCAGATTGGAGGCCTCCTCTACAATGGAATCCTTTCATACATCCCTTCATACATCTAGGTGTCTCCATCCGGCATGGAAGCGTGAAAACATTTACGTGTAATACAGAACTGTTCTAGTTTTATAGAACTGTGTGGTTTTCATATTCAGTATTGTACAATGCCTGTCAAAAAAAATCTCTGTGCTTGAAATCATTCTCAATAAATGGTATCACTTTAGCGTCACTTGTTCCTTTATGAACATAGAATTATGTTGATCATCTAATTTTGGCCTTTTTTTTTTTTATTATAACCTGTCTCTACTCCAATATACTGTTTGAGAATGCCTGCATCCTTCTTTTACCATGTATAATGGTGACATATTTGGTGGAAGTTTATCTTAATTTAAATGACCTATCTCTGTAGATCAGTGATGGGAATCAATGAAAGTCTGCTGTTAAATTTAATATGAGATGTAAAAAGAAAAGTTGTTGAAATGTAAATAATGGTGAAAGCAACAATGGCAAAAAGATTTCATGCAATACATTTTCTGACTAAACCGGTTGTTATTGTGCTTTTGATTTTCATTTGCTTCTCCATTTATTGTGGCCCACACATGGATATTCTGTTCCTGTAAATTATATTGTATAGTTGTTTTTAGCTTTTTGACATATTGTGTGCTGTGCAAACTGATGAGGGCCATTACTGGCCTCATATCAGAGTCCCCTTATGATCAGAAAGTGAGTGCATCAGTTACTGGTAGTTACTGACCTTTTGCTATAAGATTCATGATGATCTTTCTATAAAAGTCAAGAGAACACTGCGTGATCCACGCCACAGGGATAGCTTAACCAAGCATGGTACTTTTGTTTTGTAAAATCCCAGGCACAACCTATGGCTTTATTCATCAAGCTGGTTCTGTAATATAATGATCATAGATAAACTCAGGAAAAGTCTCAAGACGGAATAAATAAAGTGACAGTGCGATTTTACTTCAGGCATTCTTTTGTGCAAAAAAAGCAGTACAGGCAATGGGCAGGGACCAAGGTTGTGGAAAGCCTATTTCATTGCTTAAAGGCTTTCTAGCTAACACTGAGCTCTTTCTGTTTTACTTGGGTGCCACGCATGACAACAAAAGTATACTTGTAATTGCTATTTACAGTCAAAACTGCAGTTTGGAAAAAAGTATTATAGAGATGGGCTGGTCAGAATGTGTGCAGGGATTCATTTAAAGTCTACCTCAAGTTAAAACATCTTTAGTGTTGGATAGCCTTGGGGAGAGAAAATACTTTGACACTTAGACCCCATTCACACTGAGCGGCATGGAAATCGTGCGACATTGAGCGACGTGTCGCGCGACTTCTTCGTATTGGGCTGTATGCAATCAGGAGCAATATCGCTCAAAATTGCTCTAAAAAAGGGTCATGTAGGAGCGACAAGCTACCAGCGACGAGCTACAAGCGATATTGAGCGACGAGATGTGAACAGCTACATTGAAATGTATTGGTGAAGCTACATAGAGCGATATAGCGCGGAAATATGAGCGATATCGCTGCAAAAATCGCTCCATAAATCGCTCAGTGTGAATGGGGCCTTATATTACTTTTCTTGACCCTGTCCATATTATTTCACATAACCTCCTGTTCCTGACAGCAGGATCAGGGATTAAGGGAGCAGTTGTCACCAAGGATAATCATATTTTGACAAAGGTTCTAACTAGGGATGCATAGATATATTTTTTTAAGACCGAGTACAAATACCAATACTTTTCCTCAGGTACTCGCTGATACCAATTACTGATACCTTTTTTTAGTGTCATGTGACAGTTTATCTAAAACAGTCAAGCAAAACAAATGGCAAACGCACTCATCAATTTGTTACCAGCTTTACAGCAAGGTGCACGTGGAAGGGCTTTATACAGTACAACAGCGAAAAGTTTTCCAGCACACTCACCAGGTGAGTGTGCTGGAAAACATTTTGCTATTACTGTTTAAAGCACTTCCATGTGCACCTTACTGTAAAGCTGGTAACAAATTGATGAGTGCGTTTGCCATTTGTTTTGCTTGACTGATTTGGTGCAGTGACGCATGGGGGTCTCAGCTGCCGTTGTGATGTGCGGGGTCCCTTGTGCGTCTCTGTCCCTTTTAAGGGAGGTTGGGCTTCCTCCTTACAAACCTGGTGACCCGGTTTGATCTTTTGCCCCATGTGCTCCAAGATAGAGACTTTCATAGTTTAGGACCGCACTATATAGAGGTGCCTTGGCGCGGCTGTGCGGCCTTCACATTTTCTGCTGAGGACGTGTATCCAAACCTCTGTTTTTAACCTTAGCGGTGAGACAAGTTGTTGTTGTTTTTTTTTTTTTGCATGCTGGCTGGTGAGTGTGCTGGGAAACTTTTTGCTATTACAGTTTATCTAAAACAGCACAGACTAATGATTTTAGGACAGTGGTGGGGAACCAGAGCACAGTCACAGCTGCAACTGATGCGACCCTGATAGCTCTGCCACTGACGCCTAGCTGTAGAGACTACAAATCCCAGCAATACGTTATACAACAATGCAGAATACCACCAGCTATAGAGCACTACAAATCCCAGCAATCCATTATACAGCAATGAAGAATACACTGTGTTGCTCACCAGGGCTGTGCACGGTCTGACCACGGCTCTGTGGGGTCTCACCAGGGCTGCACGGTGTCACCAAGGCTGTGCAATGTCACCAGGGCTGTGTATGGGTCTCACCAGGGCTGCATGCATCTCACCAGGGCTGTGTGGAGGTCTCACTATCGTGCGGTGTCACCAAGGCTGTTCAGGGTCTCCACATGGCTGCTCGGGTGGGGGTGGGAAGGAAGAGGAGGAAATATACGGCTGGACCATCGCTGTGAAAGACAGCCGCCGCGAGGTCTCCACCAGCCTGCCTGAGGTCCCCAACAATCTCAGAAGTCAGAAAGAGGA